ATGACAACAAACAAATGTTTTTGATCATATAGTATGTGCAAATATAGTGCCTAGTACATTACATAGAAGATCTCATTAAATCCTCAACTATAACTCTATGAAGAAGGTATAATTATTTATCCCCATTTTTCAGATGAGGAAACTGAGGCTCAGGTTAAGTAAAATGCCCAAAGTAATTAAACTAGAACCCATGTGATAAGTAGGAACATTTATGTCCAGAGCCTTCTCTTTAGTTAAGTGCTTATTGCTACTATCTGGAAATGCAGATAAGAAGGTGCATTTAAGACAAACACATAGGAATGCCTATATGTGCTGGGCCCTTTTTAGGTTCTGAGATACAGAATGAACAAAACAAACAAGGTAATGTATCTCATGGAGCTCACATTTTGGTGGGGATAGAAGATAAAAAATGTGATGATGAAGATTAGAACTATGAAGAAACTAGAGCAAGGTGAGAGGATGGGAAGGGATTGGGGAGGGTGTTAGTTTTAATATTTAATAGAGTTATCCAGAAAGGTATTTTTGAGGTGTCATTTGAGCAGAGTAAGAAAACAGGTAACAAAACTATGAAGCTGGGGTCAGGGTGGTGCTGAGGTGCTGAGGAAGGATGCTCTGTGTGCTCAAAGAACAGCAAGAACACTGATGTGGCTACAGGAGGAGGCAGAGGAAGGGAGGGAAGTGAGTGAGTTCAGAACAGGGAAGAGTTTCTAAAGGACCTCTCAGGCCATTGCAAGGGCTTTGGATTTTATGAAATGGAAAAAAACCTTAGGAGAATTTTGAGCGAGTAGTGATGTGATCTGACTGCTTCTGCAGGGAGCGGATGGCCGGCGTCGAGTCCGGCTTCTCGGCCTGAAGGCCGTCGCTGGACAAGTCAGTGCAAACGCCGGATGTGGCCTCGGTCGTGTCCTCGTCCTCACTGCCGGGGGCCTCCAGCTCCAGGCAGCTGCTGCCTCCGTCCCACGTGGGTGCTGGCTCCATGGCAGCTGCCTGGCTGCTGGCAGGCGTGGGGGAAGCAGGCAGGGCCGTGGGGGCGCTGGCCTCCTCCGTGGGAAGCTGGGCTCCCTCTAGGGATGGGGTCGGGATGGACGGAAGGGACACTTGGGGTCCAGCAGGGCCCTCGGCCTCCTCTGCACACCTGGGCTCTGTCTGGGGGCCGTGGCCCCCACTCACAGCTGCCTCTGTCCAGGGGTGTGTGACCAGGCCCCTGGCAGGTGCCAGGCCCTCAACAGGACACAGACAGGGGCGGTCCAGGCAGCAGCCTGGCTCCCGGCCAAAGCAGACCCCCTCTGGTCCATGGAGAGGCTCTCTGGGGTCTGCTGGGGCCAGGGGATGGCCCAGCTCAGGGACAGCCTGGAGGCCATGCTTCCTGCCAAGGCAGCTGTCCGTGTGGCCACTGCCGTCCGTGTGGCTGTCATCCGTGTGGCCCCCGGTGCAGCCTGGGACCCAGGACTCAGGGCTTCGCCTGCTGCTGGGCAGCCAGGGTCCTGACGTTCCAGAGGTGGATGCTCCCAGGGGGTCCTCAAAGACGGGCTGGCAGAGAGCGGCCACACCCGAGTCAGCATCCTCCACTCTGGCCTCCACCAGCATCAAGCCCCCGGGCAAGGGCGAGCAGGAGGGGCAGGGCGGGTCCTGCGTGGGGCTCCTGCGTGGGTGGTGGTCAGAATGGCCGCAGGGGCCATCGGTGGAAAGCGTCTGGCCCCAGGGCGGCTCCATAGCCAGCAGTGCGGCCGCCCCGTCTGAATCCTTGTGATCAGGGCCCTTGGAGCTCGGGGCGCAGCCAGCGCTCCTCCCGCCCACCACACCGTCGCCCTCAGCTCCTCTCTGGGGAAGCTCGGTCCTGAGTGTCCCGGGGCCCTGCCTGCCGCCCGGGGGTGTCTGGGCGCAGGGCCATGGGGAGTTGGTGGGCGGGGCCACGGACGGGCCTGTGCTGGGGCATGAGGGCGAGTGGGCACGCGGGCAGGTCGGAGGCTGGCAGCTGCCCTCTTCAACAAAATCACTGATGCTGGAGTTGCGAGTCATCACTCAGCACCAGGATATTGTTGGGGAGGACGGCCCGTCTCGTCCAGGCCACGTCATCGCCACTTCTTCAGGCGTGTCCCCTGCGCTGGGCACCCCAGACCGTCTGTCCCCCTTCAGGGGCCAGGAAGCAGGACTGAGCCTCCGTCCCCCGGCCTGAGGGAGATGGGAGAGCAGGGGCCGGCGGGGGCCAGGGGGCAGAGGACAAGCTCAGGCCGACAGCGCTGCGGCCAGCCAGCTGGGCAGGGACACGTCACCTCGCCATCCTGCAGAGCCCACCTGCCCTGTGCTTTCTGTTTAATAAAACTACTGCCCAGTGGTGCCTGAGGCCACCGGACACAGCCCTCCCACAGGCCCCCAAGAGCTCTGGGGACCGGCCCCGCACCTGTGCACCGGCCCCCCCACCTG